TAATTTAAATACAATAAAGTTTATTAAATTTGAATTCGTAATTATCGAGATAGCTTCACTCAAAGTTTATAAAATTCAAAACGTCTATCAAAAAAAAGCTGCACCAAAATTTTCAAACCTTTGAGCAAAGATATTTCGACAACCACCGAGTAAAATTTGATAAAAAATTTTTTTTATTTGAATACTATAAATATGTAGTCGTTATCGAGATATTTCTTGATTTTGATTGGCTAAGATAGATGATCAAAAATTAGGCCGGAATTACTAGAAATTTACTAATGAAAGCGCAGCTGCCTGTTAAGTGAAAATTGTTCCTGGGCCAATTTTACCATAGTGTGGGCTAAATTTCTATTTTTGTAATGAACAAATCAAAAAGTTAATTCCGGCAAACAATTTTGTAATGCGGGCCAAAAATTTCGCAGATCACGCCGTTAGCCAATCAAAATCGAGGATCTGCCGTGACGATTTTGTTGCGGCAGCTATGGTTAATGTACAATATTTATTTTTATAGACTTTTGTACCTTTGGTTAGATTGATTTAATAAAGCATATATCATCTATTGGGCTTATTATTATGGTTTGAGTGAAGATCTCTCGATAACCACAAAGTCAAATTCGATAAACATTTTTATTTGAATTCTACAATTTCGTAGAATTCAAGTAAAATGGTTCATCGAATTTGTCTTGATTGTTGCTGAGCTATCTTCGCTCAAAGTTGAGAAAAATTTGGTGCAGCGTTTGTTTAACAGACGTTTTGAGTTTTTTAAAACTTTGAACAATGATATATCGATAACCACCAACCCAAATTTAATAAACACTTTATATTTAAATTTTGCAGATTAATAAAAAATTAAAATCAAACAACCAGTTACTTGATGAAGTATTGAAAAGCGAAAATAGAAGAGAAATTTGATGAATTTTTATTTGTTAGCAATTTATTCGCAAAAAAAGGCCTTAACGTGAATTTTGATCACAATAATTGAAAAGTGCGATAATTCAAAAAATTTAGTTATTTTACGTCCCTATGGTCATTTTCCTAAAACTCCCAACACCTTTATGATTTATCGAAAATTGTTTGTTGAAAACTGTTCGTGCTGAATGTTATAACTTTCCAATGAATATCATCTCCCAAATTTCATTTTAATCTTGAGAAAAAGAACCTGAAGACGATTATAATAAATAATTTTTCATAAAATGAAACCTCAAAGCAAGAAAAAACGATATTGATTATTTCATTTGGTAATTCTACCGTAAAGTTAAAAATTCTAAGTTCATGAGATCTACCAATAAATCGACAAAACATCTGCAATTTTTGAAATAAAACCATCTAAACTCCAAGCTATTTCTGATAAATATGACAATAGAAATTCATCAATTTTAACTTTGTTTTATTTACTTATTTGACCGAGTTTTTTTTTAGCAATCAAAGTACCTAGTCCAAATAATTTTGATTTACCAATTTAAGCAAATCAACAAGTCAATATTTATTAGCGAAAACTAGCCCTCATTCGTTATTTATGAAAGTCGATACGTGCTTGGAATTTTCAAAATTCTCTAATACTAATGAAATTTCCGAAATAACTAACATAATTCGCATAAAACCTATGATGCACTGAGCACTTGCATTTTAGATATCTCGGTCAATTCTAATTCTAATAACCAATTATCTTTCTCACCTAATTTGTTAAATACAACTATAAATCAAGATCGAAATTATTTAAACGATACATTAGGGTGATTCAAAATTAACATATTTCGAAAATAAGTGATCTCATTTCTATTTCAGTATTTAGAAATTCCGAAATCATAAAACGAAATAGATGTATTTTTCTGATGATATATTATCTCTTATATAAAAAAAAAAATAGGTTTTATAAATCAATTATCAGTTATTTAAAAACAAGTATGTCACTAATTTAATTCAAAATCAGAAACCTGAACATTAACTTTGAATTACTCCATAATATGGATTTTAATTACCCTATCATAAAAAAAAAAAAAAGGTTTGAACACTCTAATATTTATAAAATTTAAAATATACGTAGATCAAGTTTTATATGAAAACTAGTTTTATTATATTTATGTACCGATATCATTATGATACTAACACAATCAGTCGAACAAATTAAGAAATTGTAATCAAACAAATTCCATTCATTAGGGGGTTTCAGAATTAATGATTCGGCGTCCGATTTCAGATAAAATAAGTGGCGTATTTGTTTCAAAATAAGCAACGTACAAATTCTATTTTTTTTAGCTAATTTTATCACCGGCTATGCCTATTTAACTTTCTGATTCGGAATTTTAAAAAAGAAAATAGGTCCTTTTAAGCTCTCACTTATTTTGAAAAAAAGTTAATTCTGAAACCCCCTATTCTATGAGATTGCATTCCTTAATAATTGTGAAGAAAATTTAATTTATTAATGTGTTAGAATATTAAAATTATATTGCTTGTCAAAATAAAAAAAATAATTTTTCTATTCTTGTTTTTTATTGGTTTAATAAATTATAAGCATAGAAGTTAAAAGCACTATTAAAATTGCCCTCGGCTTAATTTGGTAAATATTTGTATAAGAAATTCATTATACTGTATATGAGTTGCTTCAACCAACCATCTTCATAGAAACAATCTTGTGGCTCTTAATTTCCGTAAAAGAATCGGTTAATATTTTTCCAATATCGTCTAATCAACTTTAAAAAAGATGAAATATATTGATAATATTGTAATTAATAAACCCTAGGTTGATTAATTCAATAAGTTACGTCTTACACTTTGAAATTGGGTTTAATTCACCATGAGATTGTGCTGTTGGAATAGAATTAAAAGTGCTTCTTTAATCACAAGATTATTAACGTCCTCACAGATTTAAAGTATCCGATTTTTTTATATAGAAGTACCAAGTTTTTACAGATCAAGGTTTATCTTGGACTTACATTAAATTGAGCGTCAGTCTTTTGAGTATATTCTTTAGGTAAATTAGTCTGCATATCACTAAACTTTCTTGGAAGAAATGGTACAATTTTCTTGCAGTATATTAAATTCTTAATCTCTTAATTTTTTTTAAAGCAACTAATTCAGATTTAAAATTATAAAGTCTTCTGGAAAGAAACCAAAAGTTCTATATCATTGCTTTTTAAGTATATAACTCGCTGTTAAATGATTCGAGACTTTTGTTAATAATAACATATAGATAGAAGTTGGTAATTACTAGTCCAACAAATTGTTTTTTGTTGTAAGTTTTTATTCTATATCAATTTGTTCTATTTATGATAACCTTTAGTTCTATATGTTTTGATTGTATTTATCATAATGAATAAGAAAGCATACAGATAAAAATAAAATAGTAAAAATAACCTTGACATTAGATCTTGAACTGCCGATTTTTTTTTTGTAAAATTTTATTATGTTATTATATATTTTCTTTTTTTCTTGGGAATACATTTTTGCTGGTTGGCTAAAATTAAAAATGCTCTAAGTTACCCTTCGTAGTTTTTGTAAAACGAACTTTATTATTTTATTTAATTTTCGTGATACACACCTTTTTGTCAAAATCATTTATAAGTAAATTAAGATCTGTTTGATCAAAAATAACGTTAATATGAAAGTTATTTATTCGAAATTTAATTTTAAATTCTTAATTAACTTTGATTAATGTTTGTATTTTTATTGTTAAAATTATAAAATCTAATTGTTATTAAACGCATTTCTAAATTTTTCTATCAAACAGCAATAAATTTTAAGAAAATTGGTTAAACAAAATAGAAAGAATTTAAAATAGATGCTTTTATGCATCTATGCATTTGTACATATTGGCATTTTAGAATACAGATGGCCCTCATTGATATCAACTCATTTGGATTAGAAAATTTATATTGTTTTGCTTAATTTTTTACAATTCAAATTGATATCACCTGTACAGTCAACTCCCGCAATAGTCACATGCCAAAATCAGCCGCTTTATGTGCCTATTGCGAAATTGTGACTAATGCGAGCAAAAATTGATATAGTATATATATATTATTGCTCAGAAAATTAAGGTGACTATAGCGGGATTGTGACAAATGCGGGTGTGACTATTGCGAGAGTTGACTGTATTTAAACAATGCTTAAAACCATATCCATTTCACCTTAAAAGATCTTATATGCATAGATGATATTCTTTTCTATTTAAATTGCTTATATGAACGAAAGTCCTAAAATCAACTCAGTTTGAAAATCAGTGTTTTGTAGTTGGATATCTGAACACTGTAATCCATCAAATGGATTTCCACTTTCAACTAATTCATTATATCGTTGAACGGCAATGGTGGTATGGATGGATAGGTTTACATCATGTTGAGTTCGTTGAATTCGTCGAATTCTTTGAGTTCGTTGAGCTCGTCGAATTCTTTGAGTTCGTTGAGCTCGTTGAATTCTTTGAGTTCGTTGACTTCGTTGAGTTCTTTGAATTCTTTGAGTTCTTTGAATATTCATAATTGTGGCGATTTTGATGAAAATCTAATAATAAAAGAGGTATCATATAAGTGGCAGATCTTTATTTCAAAGTCTTGACGCTCACGCAGATAAGTAAAGGTGACAGATTTGTGAAACGCGAAATTGCTAGTCTTCAAAAAATATTTCGAATTTTCGTGAAAATAGTATTTATTTCTATAGCATTGTATAATACGTACTTACCAAGTTAAGTATCGTTTTTATAAAAATTCGAAATATTTCTGAGTATTAGCAATTTTTAGAAAAACTAGATGCTTCTTATAAACAAATCACGTGATCTAGACGCAGGATTATTAATGCGTATTCTCATCGATTTCAAAGTAACAAGCATAAAAGCACCAAGTCTTTGCAGATCGAAATAATCATGTTACAACATTAAGATGATGATTATTTCATGTCCATCTTTTGGTGGATACTCTTCCAGTGAACTAGTTTGCGCATCATCAGATTTTCTTGGTGGAAATGGTACAAATTTCTTATATAAAATTAGATCTTAGATCTCCAAAACAGTTGGTGCATTATTAATAATATGAGGATCTCCAGAAAGAATATGAAAAGGTTCCATATCATTTCCTTTTAAATATAAATCAGCGTCAAATAGATTAGAAGTTTACGTTAATAAGACATATAAATGGCAATCGGTAAATTACTCCATTAGGAAATCTTTTTAGTATATGCAAGAAATTAAATACTAAATTTGTTTGAACTTCGAATAAAGATATCTTAACAAAACTTGACTAAATTTGATAAAATCTTTTTAATTATTCAAATATTACAGAATTTATATAAAATTTTTTATCAGTATTTATTAATATACTGTATTATATTTAAAGTTTTAAATAGCACTTTTCTCACAAAATGTTCGATTAATATTTACTGACTTACCACATATATTTTTTAAAAAAGCTCTATATTCAGTCTTCAAGTTTATTAAAGGTATGTGTTTAGCTTTTCAACTAGATTTATAAAATTTTATGTTTTTGTTTTAAGTTAAATCTTGAATCTTATATTTTTTTTTTAATGAAATTGTGAGATCAAACTTAATTTAAGGAATATATAGAAACCTTGCGATAAAAAAAAAAAATATGGTTCGGGAAAGATAGTGCTATTTTATTTCAATTTGAATTATTGATCAATAAATTCCATAATCGTGGTACAGCAATAAAAAAAAATTAGTTAAGTAATTATGTAATATATACGCGTTATTAATACGGGAATAATTAATCTTATTACCGCATTTAACTGTATGTAAGAAAACATACATCCGGACATTAATATTTTATAATATCTATTGGTCCAAAAAATCGTTTCAGAGTCTATTAGGCCGAATTGGTCTATATTTTTTTAATGGATGCGAGTTTATGAATATAAATATTTATTGAAAGAATTATTTTCTTTAAATGATTAACAAGTAATACAGTCAACTCCCGCAATAGTCACATGCCAAAATCAGCCGCTTTATGTGCCTATTGCGAAATTGTGACTAATGCGAGCAAAAATTGATATAGTATATATATATTATTGCTCAGAAAATTAAGGTGACTATAGCAGGATTGTGACAAATGCGGGTGTGACTATTGCGAGAGCTGACTGTAATTTAATCAGTTGCATAAATATAGAACAAGGAAAAATAATTGTAATTAACATATAGCGTTTACGGAAAGTAAAATACGATTCGAACCAAATTACCTGATATGTTTAATTAAATTGAGGAGTTTAAATAAAGTTTAACAAAGTTTTATGGTAGTTTTGCGCACCTGTTCGATATAAAGGGTAACAAGGTCAAAAATAATTATAATAAATTAATGTGAAACTCAAACGACACGTTATTTGCAATGGCACACGATTAAAACCTATCAAAATATCATTGGAAAAAATAAAATGTTAATGCAATTGGTTATACGCACCCGTTTATTCATTCGTTTACTCATTAAGCATTCACTCCTCATTATAAATGTTTGCGGACTTAAGCAGAATTACTGTAATTTAGGTTAGGGTTATCTGTTTTAGAGTTAGGGCCAAAATCGAGGGAATAACTGCCAGGGAAATTTTTCTACAAACCCTGAGTTAAAATTAATGATCTCATGTAATAAGATACTTATTGCAAAATATTTAAGTTCCAAATTGTGTCGCTAATTTTGATCTTTATAATTACAGATTGTCGCGGCTGATACTAAATTTAGGGTCCTCATTTAATTCTATAACATTTACTAAAATTCACATATACTTTTATTACTAATAATACTAACCCTAAAAAAAACCCTAACAAAAGGCCCAAAAAATTTTAAAATTTCATAATAAAATAGGACAAAATTTTAGCATTAGCCGCGATACAATTTACCATGGGCGCGTATCAACTATGTAATTTAATATGATAATTTATTTCGCATTTAAAATTCTACAATTACTAAGACTAAATATTTATTAATACCCGCCATCTTGATATAGTGATCGGTGTATATTTTAAAGAAAAAATTACAAAATTTAAATATTAGCGTATACAGTAAAACTTGACCCATTTAATCGATCCGATATTGTAAGATAAAGGTTAAAAAATGCTTAGGAATGATTTCAATAACGCCTTTAAAATGTAGTATTAACTGCTATAACTTTCTATTAATTTATGTATATGCATTTATTTGTATAATGGGAACTATAAATCCGATAATTAGTTAACAAAAACGAAGCATAATCTTATGTTTAGAAGAAGTTACCGTTGTTTCAATGTGTTCCGGTATATAATTAAGCAACATTTGTAATAGTTATATCTTGGGCAGTTGGGTATAGACGGGATGAAATTCCCGCTTATACGCATAGTGCCCAGGGTATAACTGATTTATACCCTGTGATCTTGATATAGTGACCAGGGTATAAAAAGTCATATCCGCGGATTTATGTAATTGGATCTTTTTTTCAGAACGTGAATTTCATAGAGTTATCATTGATCTAATGGGTGATCAGTGTTTTGTCGATCATCGGACAAAAAACATGGGTCTTTTTTAAGGTCCAATTTTTGAATTCCGTAAATCCGCGATATGTATTGATTTTTCAATTGACTTTAAATTATATATCACTCAAGAACATTGGATTTTGAAAACGAAGATAGGTTAGGTGAACCGATCTAGATAATCGGGCATCATAGTAGTTGTAATCTCTAACGACCAAGCATCAGTTAAACCTTGTTTAAGTAAAAGGATTTAAATACTTTGATCTATAATATTACAATGAATGAGCATTTTAAATCATGATTTGGTATTTTAATAGGCTTACTAATCTATCACAAACGACAAACATTATTATGATGAGTCATAGCGGGCATTATCATTATTGTGAGATTCACTCATGTGAGTAGATCAAGTGGATATGGCGATCACTACCCAAAAAGTGCTTCCTAGGGATGGCCAAAAACAGAAATAACGAAGTGGAGGAAGGCAGATAGAACCTAAAGGAAGGAAAGGTCAAAAGGTCCGTATGATTTTATTGGATAAATTTGTTCTTTTGGTCATATATATCTTCTTGGATATAAATTGACTGAAGGAAATTATACATAAACACCTGTGAATACACCCAAAGTGTTAACCGGCATGCTAGAATATTTAAGTCAAGGAAGTGAAACAATCCCGAATCAACTGATACCACTCGCAAAATCTAAACGTTTCTTCCTAAAATTTTACTCAAAGCAGTGTGGTAGTTCCCATATTGTCAGAAGTAACGCCACTTGGCGTTATTTGTAAACAGGTAGGCTTCTTTCTCTAAATGCAGACCCTAAACGCACTACCTCTCTAAATGCAACCTTTAACCTGGCCAAATATATATCAGTCCCATAAATGCAAATTTTCTAAATGCAAGATATGTCTAGTCTCTTCGAGTTGTATTTAGGGAGGCTTGACTTATAAGTGCATATAGGCGTTACTTTTGAGGCCACCTCTATATTTAATTATTTATTGAAACCCTAATATAAGATACGCGTCATTTAGAACGCACATGGGCCCATTTTGAAATAATCCATGCAATTTTAGGGCCCTATTTTTTTAAATAACGCACATGCCCGTTATTCCACAACAATAAAGTAATAATAGTCTATTGTTAGTATCGGAGATGGATTTTAACCTTTCAATATTTATAATACTAATCTTCCCCAAAAAGTCACAAGTGAAACGTTGATAGTGATTTAGATTCGTAAAACTATTGATACGAGAATTATTATACAGCGATTTTGTTCAAAACATTCTATATTCCATATAACTTGCTTATTATGGTCAAAACAACCCCAAAATAAAATCAAAAAATGTATTATAAATATGAGCAATGATTTAACTATGTTAAAAAAAATAATCAATTTATGCAAGCCTGCGAACATTCTTTCTGTTGTGTAAAATTATCTGTTTAGGAAAGACCAATTTAATTCGGTGACTTTCGGTGACTTACATTACATTCCTCACTCAAAGGGAGAGAGTGAAAAAAAGGTAATTATATAGTAAATTTTAAAAACTTTCGTAAAGTATCAGAAATTTTCTCGAATATTTGTCTCGACTTATATATATTATGCTCATTAATTTTCTTTTCAGTATTTTTCGGGCGTATCCATGTATATATACCAAATTCTTTTTATTAAGAAGGGGAGTAAGTAAACCACCGAATTAAATTGACCTCGCTTAATTTTTACAAGTGCTTTTTTTTTTATGCATTTAATGTTATGCACTTGTTGTTTAATAAAGAATCGACACAAACTTTCTATTATTTTCTTGAATAAATGCGATAATGAATATTCTATAGTGTAAAATAGACAAGCCCCTGAAAAATACTACAGTACTAATTTTAGGAGTTTTAAGGTTAGGGTCAGCGTAGGATTTATAAAACAAGTATAAGTGGATTTAAGGGGCTAAATAAAAACCTTAAACTTTATTTTATTATGATCGTCATCTACGATATTGCCTATCAAGTTCGTACAGATACGTATATATTACACAAATAATATTTTG